CGTCTACAAATGTATGTATGTCTGAGTGTATTTTGATTATGTCTGCCGACGCAAACAGCCGAAATGAAAAATGCAAAAGCCCCCCCCCCCAACCTGTTCCCCACTAAGAGAATATTGCTGCATTTATGAAACGCTAAAATCTTGACACCGAAATCGACAGAATGAAATTGTGTGCTTAAGCTTAAGCAAATGTAACTGCGCCTAACCCAAGATTATGAATATGGGTGTGTATGTATGAAAAAGACATGTATACGCCCGTGTGTATGTGCGTCTATGTATATGTGAGCGTCATTCCAAACAAACACAGAACAAAACAATTTCCCTCTCTCGCCACACAAATAAACGAACAGGAATAAAACATTAATAGATCTACTTTTGAAAAAAATAAACCAGTCTGTCTGAAGATCGCGAAAGCGTGAAACCTATGGTCCCAAACAACTCCTCTATAACCGCTAATGTTAGCTCCAGGCCGGATATTGAGCATTTTCTACTGAATACCACACACACACACACATCAACACGCACACACACACACACACACACACACACATATATATATATATATATATATAGTTAAACCCAGAGAGCCAGACAGACCTACCAAGGTTTCACCTAAGCGGATCGTCAGGAAAGGCTGGCTAAAGAGGTGACGTAAGAACGGAATATATAGCCTATAAACATAAAATCATGATGACGATCCGCTTAGGTGAAACCTTGGTAGGTTTGTCTCGCTCTCTAGGTTTAACTATCTAACTAACTAACTAACTATATATATATATATATATATATATATATATATATATATATATATATATATATATAGAATTAGTTAGTTAGTTAGTTAGTTTAGTTGTGTATGTGTGAGTGCGTTTGAGCATGTCTGCCGGCGCAAACAGCCGAACTGAAAAATGCAAAGGCCGCCCCCACCTGTTTAGCGTTAGTTAAACCTAGAGAGCCAGACAAACCTACCCAAGATTTCACCTAAGTGGATCGTCAGGGAAGGCTGGCTAAAAAGGTAACAAAAGACCAAATAAAAAAACAAACAACGGGGGAGTTTTCGTCTGAAGATCGCTATAACTATAGCTTTATACAAAGAACCTGATCATTTATTTAAATTCTAAAACTGAAATTCTAAGTAAATGTAGACACAGAAAACATTGGTTGTTAGACTAGGTCTACTCTCCCCGTTTTTTCTCTCTCTCTCTCTATATATTTGAATAAATGGTTCTCCCCAGCCCTCCCCCGTTGTTTGTTTGTTTTTTTATTTGGTCACGTGGTTATTTTTTTGTTTATTGACTATAAGTATTCCATTCTTTTGTTACCTTTTCAGTCAGCCTTCCCTGACGATCTGCTTAGGTGAAACCTTGGTAGGTTTGTTTGGCTCTCTAGGTTTATCTAGGTCAGCTCTACTTACCGTATTGAGCACTTTATTTAGTTATTTTGCTTACTCGTATCGTTTATATTACTTTGGGCTTTGGCCTTGCATGCTAGACGATTATTTTCAGCTAACATACATGTTCTTGGTTCTTTCTTTTTTTTATACCTTTTCTTCCCTTTGGTATTGGTTTGATTATTTGCAAATCAAAACACTGAAGGTTTTCCGAACGTGTATAATTTCTTATACTTATAAGATTACTACTAATATATATATATATATATATATATATAAACAATATTGGCTTTCTGCAACACGCAAGTGGACGGCCACTTGCGGGTTACAAACAACCTACAAATTATAAATATCCTCTGGGAGACTGCATCTCCAACGATAAAAATATCTATGTTGGACACACGACAACAACGTTTTCACGTAGGCTAAGTCTTAACCAGAATAACACGTCCAATATTTCTAAACATTTACAACAACATATCTGTCCACACTTGCAGTTCAGAAAAATACTTCCATACCTTTCCACGAAAAGAATAAACACAAAATAAACATTCTCGAAGCTATTTATATAAAAAAATTGAATCCAAACCTCAATAAAATTAATTACAATTACTCTACAAACATTTTAAAATGTTTACAATAGATAGTCTTTAAATGGTAGCGCTTGATTTTCCTTTATCTAGCAACTACTCAAATCCGGAATTTTTCCACAACCTACCTAGTTACCTCCCCTTAAATAGTGTCCGTGTCACCTAAGCCATGACACAGCGTTCCTGACTCTACATAGAAAAATGGTAATTTTTGGATGACCATAAGAATTTTTGACTTTCACAACCATGAACACTAAGCATTTACTCTATAATTAACAATACCTCATTATGGTATGTCGAAAGTACTCGGAATAAATACAATATAAGCCACCATGGTGTTTTACTCTTGTATTTTAATAACCGCACAAAAAAGCTTATCTGCAAATGTGAAAGGATCCTATCGAGAATAAGTAGACATAACGTGTTTAAATTATTTAACGAAACCTGTCTTAGCACACACACACACACACACATACATATATATATATATATATATATATATATATATATATATATATATTTGATAGGATAAGGAATAAATATTTTCTGATGAGGTTTAGCGAAACGTTAGAATTATAAACGTTTCCAATATCTTAGAATTCTGTCGGATTCAAATCTATATTTGGTCTATATTTGATTCCAATTAATATATATACATCTTTGTGCAAATTAATTGAAACAACTACTTTAGTTTCCTTCTTTTCACTACTGGACTGACTGAGTGTAATCGATTTCTATTTTTCCTCAGTTTAGGCCATTTGCATTGGTATGCAGAAATATGAATCTATTTTCGGGGAGTATGATGAAATTTGTCTGGCCTTGAAAAAAATTACGTCATCCGTGAGTGCATCAGATTTTTATCATGCCCAAACACTATTGTCTCGACTGTCGATTAGTTGTTCTACGGCAATTGTCTGCGATGGAATTCACTTCCAGGAAGCGTACGAAGATTGTAACGCTGCACAAACACACTGGCAAGCCTTACCAGTGAGCAAATTAAAGTACTATAGATTGGCCAGGAAACTCTCCTGAATTAAATCCAATCGGGAATGTGTGGTCAATCTGCAAAAAAAAACGGCTTCATGGAATGGACGTACGAAGTACTAACATATGCACTGGGTCATGTTTCATTGGAAAAATACGAAAAAAAGTAAATAATAACGGAATTATTTGTTTTGTTACAATTTATTTGCACAATGGTGTACATATATCTCTATTTGTAAGGAATCAATGGATTTATAATCCGACATTATTTTTTTATTTTGTTAATATCCATGTTTGAATAGACGTATATGTATATATATATATATATATATATATATATATATATGTGTATATATGTGTGTGTGTGTGTGTGTGTGTGAATTTCATCTACCGGCGTATGCATTCGAGTGGCTTAATTAAGATAATGTGCTCTTCGGCAGTTTTCGAAACTATCGTCTGATCCAGCGGGCTTTAGACCGCTCAGCTATAGAGTGTGTCACAGCCCAACGGCGTTCAATTACGCTTTTGCAGAATACACATCCTCCCGTTCAAATCTTCTCGAAAGACCATATCTTTGTGACCAAGCTGTCTAACGCAAGCTTTATGAGACGACAATTTTTTTCTATAATGGTGGACACAGATTCGAACCCTGCCGGAAAGCGCATTTTATTTATTATGTCTCTCGAATGATCGACTTGCTTCAACTTTGTCGTCGCCATCTTTGTTGTTCTGCTGCTAACCTTTTTCGCCTGTGAGATATTTCCATTTCACTGTTATATTAAACACATACTTTTTTCAACATGAAAAGATGTTGATCAAAAAGCGATTTATATAATTTCAGGAGTAATCAATGAAACATAGATGCCATTGAACATCTACAAAAATATAAAGAGAACAGATTGGTTAAACGGTTTCATTGGCCTCCATTTTAATTGTGAATTCTTTATCTCCGCTTAATTGAATCTCAATACATTGTTTCAAGACTTTCGTTTCATTGCGTCTCACTATTAAAACTTTCTAACATCTGCCGTAATTTTTTACGAGTTTATATGTAGTAAGCAAGTTGCTACTGGTGTGACCACACAATAAAACCATATAATAATTATCAATGTATATTATATATATTATATTTATTTCCTGTTTATTTATTTATATATTTCCTGTCCTATCTATAGTGTATAGGGAGGCAAATCGAATTAAATTAGTAAATTTCTGAGTGATTACATCTCTTAGTAGTTTTACTACTCTATACAAATAAAATATTCATCTGCATTTGGACAAAATTAGTTCACGAGCAAAATGAACCATTTAATTAATCAGTTCCTTTACTCCTACGTTTTTTAGATTGCAGTTTTATTTGTTCAAGCCTTTCATGTGAGGCATTCAGATACCTTTGCCTATTAAGTGATCGTCTTATTTCAACTTGATCTTGGAATAGGCTTCGTCGTCATTGTCTTTGTCGTTCTGTTGCTAATCTTTTTCTTCCGAGAGATATTTCCATTTCACTTTTATATTAAACGAATCAAATTTTTAACATGATAAGATATTGAGCAAAAAGCGATTTATATAATATCAAGAGTAATAAATGAATCATAGATACCATTAAATGTTTAAAAATATAAACGGAACGGATTGATTAAACGGTTTTATTGGCATCTTTTTTAGTTGTGACTTCCTTATCTCTGCTTTATTGAACCTCGATATATTGTTTCAAGACTTTTGTTTCATTGCATCTCACTATTAAATCTTTCTAACAATTACTGGCACAGTTAAATTTATTTATTTAATTTTGGCCAATATTTTGTATTTTCTCTTTTGGGGTTGCTTAAGCCATAATGATGTCACTAGTGATGTGGCTCAAAATTTAGACAGATTTGAGTATAACGGCTTATAACGAATTGATTACTAAAAAAAATCCACGTACAAGAGATGGCAGAAAATCTTTCCGCCTGAACCAAAATAACTTCAAAATTTTTACTGTTTAGCTATTTAGCCAGATATTTGGGAAGTAAGTCTAGCCGATAACCTTTGAACACCTCCCCAGATAGATAGATAGATAGATAGATAGATAGATAGATAGATAGATATACTCACTCTCTAAACCAAATAAGAAGAGTGAGAGATAAAAATTGCAATCTCTCTCTCTCTCTTTCTCTCTCTCTCTCTCTCTATTCGTCTATAAACAAATTTACATGTTGGAAAATAATTAGAATAATGATAATTAATTGGAATAAAAACAGCTCATAAATATGAAAAAAATAACATGAAATTATCAGGGCACGCCTGTACATAAGTAAGTCGGTAACATTTATGTTTGTAAATATACGACTACCTACCATGATTTTACTTTTTTAATCAAAATCATGAAGTTCATTTTCAAAATATAACATATAAGTACCATGAACCTTCTTTCCCCCTCAGTTTGTATGTAATGTAAACAATTGTGTAGTAGATTGTACTTAAGAGACATAATTTAGTCAACAAGGGACAGACAGTCGAATTTCACACACAAATGTAAACACTGCGGATAGATAGATAGATAGATAGATAGATAGATAGATAGATAGATAGATAGATAGGAAGGAAGGAAGAGATTGAGATAGGATAGACTGACATGAGTTAGAGACAGATTTATTAACTTAAGTAAAGAAAGGCGACAGCTAAATAATTAGATTGGGATAGATAGATAGATAGATAGATAGATAGATAGATAGATAGATATCAACAACCCTTTTTTGGTTACTTAATGTCTAAATCTGTTTTATCGATAAACGTTTTCTTGAGTCAACAGGCAAACATTGATTTTCCATACAAAAGTATACAAACAACCGCCCACGAGAAGATGTTTTCCTTCCCTGAATGCATGCAGTCGGGTTATTCTCGCCGAAAGGTCAAAGGTAGATATATTACATTTAGTTGGGTTCTTTTTTTCAAGTGAAATTAGTAAAAAAAAAAAAAAAAGAGACAAAGACAAGAGGTAATGGTGATATTATCCGTTTTCTCATGAGGAAATATTCGGAATTCATTGATCGTGTGGCTATTGTTATTATCATTTGAAATTTATAAAGTCTTTCTCTTAACAACCTTTCAGCAAAATAAATTTCTCATGTCCAGTAACCTTTATTGCTTTTATCCGGCATTTATGGAGGTTTCCTTCCTAACCTTTTGTTGGTTGTAGTGCGTAAGATCATCATTTTGATAAGGTCAAATGAAATGGGGCCAAAAAATTGAAGAAGGTTGTCCCAAATCGCAAGAATTGAAGACAATCTTGCCATGTGGGAATTAATCGTTATCTAATTGTAGACTTCATATAATGATTCATGAAATAGATCATATAAAAATGATTCAAGACACGCCCATGTACTTGCAATAAATACGTGTTATTTTATATAAGACTAGCACGGCGTTACCCGGGGATATAACAGTAAGAGATAGATCAAGTATCGACCATCATAAAGACTGAAAAATAAAATTGACAAAGATTATTGTTTAAGGTTGACGGACACGCATGTCTTAATTAGTTTTTTTGTTTTGTTTTGTTTTGTTTTTTTTTGGGGTGGGTACGAATTGGTCAAACCCAAACTCAGACAAAAACATTGTTTTCAATCGTTGAGTCTACCGATTGAATAGAATTTTATTATAAACAATTGTCTTGTAAATGGAATTTTTAAAGCATTCTGAATGTAAAAATAAAGAAAAAAGTGTGCAAGACAATAAGAAATACTACCTGCCAAAAAAAGTGACGTTTTGTTGAAATCGGTTGAAAAATGTAGGAAATCCGATCCCATATATAAAGGAACACACACACACACACACACACAACCAACCAACCTGGGTTTTATAATAAGTATAACTCGATAACTCAATATTAATAAGTATAACTGGATATGAGTTGTCCCCCTTTCATTAATGACTCTTAATCGTGTTTTCAAATTGATTTCGTGCAAAAACAATTGTGTTTTTCAATTTTTGGCGCTGTCAGAACCACCGCAAGGTAATTTTATGTAGTCCTGTGAAGTTTTGTTGAAATCAGTTGAAAATGTAGGAAATCCGATCCAATATATAAAAACGTACACACACACACACACACACACACACACACACACACACACACACAATCTGCGTTTTATAATAAGTAAGATTACTAATTTTGTTTAACTGTTTACAGCATGTCCATGTTAGTGGGTAGTAAAAAGTCTCATAAAGTTTTCAGAAAGTTTGATTATCTTGCAGTATAGTAATACTCTTACCAGTGCACAATCTGCGCACAAACCTTAGATTGTGATGCATGTAGGCTCAGAGAGTTCAATGCAAATAGGCGCCATAACAAAAATGTACACATGCGCCTTTTGAGAGCCAGGGATAAGATTGTTATTGTTTCAGAGAATTGCTGCACATGTTGGATATGACATGGTAATGCAACAATGTTTGTCATGTAGCACAGGTGAACGCCAAATTTTGCAGTCGTGCCAAACTACAGCATCAGTCAGAGTAAAAGTAACGGACTTTTGCACGATTTTGTTCAGCGGCATATCAATACCTATATGGGTTATTTAATGCCAAAATCTAAATATTTTGAACACAATTTTATGGCTGCAACTAAATATATTTTGCGGGCAATTGTATGCCTTCAACTACAAAAAAAATGTATTTTTTGTCACTTTGCTTTAAATATGTATGTTTAGTAATTTTACTATAAATATAGCGATTTTAAATTATATGCGGCACAAGGCTATAAGTATGAGGCACCCAGTGAGGATCGAATTCACTATCCTGTCGTAATTGTACTAGGGAGACAAATTTCTTAATTATTACACCACATCATGGTGCCCAAATTTTACTCTAAATTTACATTGTTGGTAAATTCAGCATAAGTAGTTATTGTTGGTTGATTTTGTTTAGCGGCATAACAACACCTCTATGGGTTATTTAATGCTGAAATCAAAATATTTTGAACTTAATTTTATGGCTTCAACTAAATATATTTTGAACGCAATTGTACGCCTTCAACTACAGATAGAATGTATTGGTAATTTTTATATAAAAATGTGTTGCTGGTATTTTTACTATAAAATGTATTTTTATACTTTCATAGTGCTTTGTTTTTATTTAATGGGGGTACTATTTGCACGTATCCTGGGATCTTAACAGATTCTATCCACCCCCGGGCCAGGGTGGACCTGGGAACAGCATCAATGCCCCTCAAACCATTCAGTCTCCCGACCAGAGGCCTTGCTGCCAGATGTAGTTTATCGTTTACCCAGGATTTGTATTTGGGGGGAAGAAAGAAAACTAAGCTATGAAATCGAGTATCAGTCGTAAAAGATTAAACACACAGGCACGCATATATTCCCCACACGCGAAAAGCCGAAATGCAAATAAACTAGGTATTTTCACTGAATCAATTCTTCGTCAGTGTCACAAGGAGGTATTGGTAGTAAGAGTAACGGAGGAGCTTCATTCGAGACTATGTCTCAGTATCCAACTAGAACTTGAAGGAGCGTGTAGAATCAATGGATTAAGCATAAAACAATTAAAATACACATATTGTCGGCTACCACGAGGCAAATGTAAAGACAGTGATACTATATATATATATATATATATATATATATATATAAAGCTGAATATCACACTCGTGAGAAGCGATATGATGCGTCCTCTGACCCTCACTGGGCACTCTCAACACCTACACAGCCTTCTCTTAAAAGATATCTATCTAAGAGTAAAGTCAGATCATTTGTGAATATCTATGTCGATGGTACAATTATATATGGGTGCTCCTCCAAAACTCGTGATGACCACAAACTGACAGCTGATCTCTCATCTGTGCCATAACATCTCAGTGGGGGGTAAACTAGCTGGTTATATTCAATGGCTCAAAAACCAAAAATTACCGATCGAACCCTGAACTACCATGTCTCCCCGGGCTCTGCGCATTGAGCGACTATCGTGACTTATGATCACCTCAGATTTCAAGTGGAATTTCTAAACAAGATCCATCGCTAAAGATGGATAAAAAAGGGTCTATTCTCTGTATCGCTCCAATAATTACCTGACTCCTCAGGAAAGGAGCTGCCCAGTCCTCATGTTCCAGTCACGACAGAGTCCAAAAGCGCCTGCAACTCCTTGTGAGAGACAAATTCTTTTTCACCATGCAACCCTTTTCTCACAGACGGGATGTAGCAAGCCTCTCACTGCTCTATCGCTCCTTCCATAGAAACTGCATTCGTTGGTTCTGAGTTTCACAGCCATGACCCGCCATGCCACTTATATTGTGGGAAAGCACCCTCATTCCCTCCGTATTTCACTGGTGAGAAGTAGAGATTTACTTGACCATCCCCCACTGAGTCAAGTTGTAACACAAGGTCATTTTTTAATGTGGAGACCCAAGTGTTTTCACTCGGGCCACTGGTCATAGCTGGTCATAATTTGTCCAAGCCTGCCAGAGCTGGTCCAAGCTAGTTATAGCCGTGATACTACCAGCACAGAGACGGATCCCTACACCAGGTAAGTATGCACTGTTGAGAAGTAAGTTTCATTTGAACAGGTTCTTCCAACGAACCGACTTCCAAGAGGGTGTTTCCCTGATCATTACAAACTTAACTTAGGGTTAACCGTTAACTTGCCCACCTATCCACATAAACAGTACCATTTACTCTGTAACCCGATACCTCAGATGACTACTGGGCCTTGTATAGGCTGAACCTCATTGTAAAAAGAATGAGACGAATCTAGGTTGCCTACCATTACAATTTGGAGGGGCAAGCTCGACTCATACACCTGTTTGTAGTGTTGTAAATTCGATTCATACATTTTAATCTGCTTACGTCAGGTAAAACTAAGCTTAGCTCATATATTTATGTATGCTAAGACAGATAAAAGCATACGTGCTTATATAGAGGAAATATTCAGTAAATCTATCTCGGTATAATCTGACAACATTCAGTGAGTTTGTGTACTGCGTGACTGTCGCATTCACAGAGACGTATCGTGTATTTATTTATTTTTTTTAGTAAAATATTTCATCATTCAGGTTTCTCAGACTCCTATATTCTAAACTTGACCCCTTGCAACATCTGGTTTTTGACACACCCCAAATCACCATTACGACATCAGATAGATAAGAACAAAGACTCAGGCGAGCGTGACTGGACAGCTATTGGTAATCCGCAAAATAGACTTTTCAGAATATTTTAAAATGCACAAGGAGTCTGGAATAACTCTCAATAACAGTACTTTAAACGGAAATAAGGCTCGAATTGTCCATTTCATACTCCCCCACCCTGGTCTTTTGAACATGAGTAGTGGTTTATCCCTTGCGCATTATTTAGGAATGGGTTTCCGGTTCCTTCTAAATGTTACTAATAACTCTATATGTCTGACGTGTCCGCCTAAAACTCTGAATTTTTTTTACTATTTATTTAATTTTGTTCTCAAAAGGAGTAGATAGTTTCGCTTATCGTCCGGTTCACACTCCTCCCGATGAGGAGTAGAGGTTTCTCCCTTGTTTCCCGTTTAGGATCGGTTTCCGGTTCCTCCTAAAATCTTTTCTTTCTCTATCACTTCCCTATGCGTCTTGGTGGCATTATTACCTTGCTTGGAGTAGTGCCTCT